GAAGCTCCAGTACTATGGCCACCTGATGTGAAGAGCCGACTCATTGGAAAAGACCCTGATGCTGGGAAAGATTGAGGGCAGGAGGAGACAGGGGAAACAGAGGATGAGATGCTTGGATGGCATCACCAACTCAATGGATATGAATCTGAGAAAACTCTGGGGGATGGTGAAGGACAGGAGAGCCTGGCGTGTTACAGTCCATGGGGTCACATAGAGTTGGACATGGCTTAGCGACTGAGCAACAACAATACAGGGACACTCAGTGCATGAGGACAAGATACAGAACAAGAGCCACAGCTCCCAGGGGTCGAAGCTCCCTGACTGCTTATCTTTGGAAAGTCCCCAGGAGCCATATCCTGTTTGTTCAAGATTCCTCATTAAGAACTACTGGGGTAGGTGAGAGACATAGCCATGATTCACCCAGCATGGAAACAGAGTTGGCTTGGCCTTGAGATTAGCTGGAACCAGCAGAAAACAGCAGAAGTGATGCCGTGTGGTTCTGGAAGCCAGGCTCCACCTCCATCCTCCTGGAACCTCCCCAGTGTCATCACAGAAGGTAACTAGTAAATCACGAGGGCCCACACCAGGAGGGAGGCTCTATGGCCAACACCAGGACCCCAGACATGTGAGTGAGGCCACCTTACACCTGCCTGCCCAGTCAAGCCCCAGATGGCCTTGGCCACAGGAATGATCCCCGATAAGACCAACAGAACTGCCGGTTCAGCCCAAATTGAAGAAGAATCACTGCAAATAGAAAACAGTTGTTGCTTTAAGTCATTAGGTTTTGTGGCATTTTGTTACACAGCAACAGTAGCTGATATAACTGTATACTGAGTCAAAGCATTGGTTTTTGATGCATCCTTTAACCAAAACTGACTTAAATAATACAGGACTTATAGGCTTATGTTTCTATAATAATGTAATTTATAACATTAATTAATGGAAGAAAAATTAGAGAATAAATTAAGGGACAGTATTTTATAATATTTAACATCTCCAAAATTTAAACAACCAGGAATAGAAGAAAACTTACTTAATTGGAAAAGATAAAATCTATCAAAACCTGCCAAAATATCATACTTAATGGTGATATTTTAGAACCAAGAATGTGGTGGCTGCCCACACCCCCATTTATACATCACTGCTTTAGAGATGCTAGCCAATGCAATAAGGGGAAATAATAAGACTAGAAAGGAAGATATAAAGCAACCATTATTTCAGACAATATGATTAGCTATGTAGAAACCCAACAGAAACAACAAAAATGTATTAGACATAGGAGTAGAATTTAACAGGAGATACAAAAAGTATTTATGTTCACAGACACCAACAATGAATAGGAGCTTAAGGGTTTTAAACTACACCTTTTACTGTAGCAAAAGAAAATAATTTATTTCAATGAGCCATATGACTTTATGGAGAACTCTGTAGAATTTTATTAAAATAGAATAAATAACACCTCTGTAAGCAGAGAGATAGCCAATGTCTACTGATAGAAATATTTGATATGATAGTAGAAGAGCAAAGGACCAATAATACACAAGACAAAGAAGAAGGAGTAAGAGCCGAAAGAGAAGGGGAGTGGAGACGGGAGAAGATGGAAAAGAAGACAGTGGTATACGGTTGTCTCTACCAGTTAATACATAGCTATACTAATCAATACAGAAAGATATTGACTTGAGGAATAGATGGACTAATAAAACAAATTAAAGAGGCCAGAAACAGACCTATAATTATCTGGAACTTAATATATGAGAGTAAGCATTGCAAAGCTACAGGGGGAAAAAGAGGACCATGATACAGTACATAGTACTGATTCTCTACCTCAAACCATGCAAAAAAAGTAAATTCCAGGTGAATTATGTTAACAGCTAAGCTTTACATTTTCTAAAAGAAAATATGAGAGAATATCTTAAGGTTCTGTGTACATCTAGGCTTCTTAAGATGCAAAAGTAATGGAAACAAAGAAAAATTTGATACATTTGATTGAATTGAAATTTTTAAACTTCTATTTTGCCCACAATTGTAGAAAATGAGAGGACAATCCACAACAGAGAGAAAATATTTCCAAAATATTCAGTGGGTAAAAGATGAGTACCCAGAGTATTTAAAGAATTCCTACATATCCATAAGGGAGAAAAAAATCCAGTACAAGAACTGGCAAATGCATTTCCCAAAAGAGAAAACACAGATGGCTAATAAACATATGGAAAATATTCAACATCATAGTAATGATACAAATGCAAATTAAAACAATGAGATACCACTTTCTCTACCCACCAGATTGGCAGGAAAGTATTTTTAAATAAATGAGCCTCACCAGCAATCAGGAAAATGAAAATTAAAACAACAGTGGTAACATTATAGCATGTTATATCCCCTCACCACCAGACTGTCAAAATGTTTTAATCTAACAATAAAAGATTCTGAATTTCAATAATGTTGAACTAGCTAGACTAAACTGTGTGTCCCACGGATAATTATAAAATTGGGGCAAAATATAAAATGCAAATATTTGACAGTTGAACAGTGACCAAATGCAGGCAGAAACCAGAGACTGACCCTAAAAGATGAAGACTACTCAAGATGAGATTTTTAGTTTTGCAGTTTTTTGACTCCTCAATCCACATAGGACAGAAAGTTGCCATTTTACTCATTTGAGATGTCACATGACAGAAACTAGGGATGAGAAAAGTAGTTGCAAAGTTAGAGGGGAAATCCTATAAAGGATAGAGCCACATTCAGGGAGAAAAAGAGATAAGACCCCAAATCCATGTATTGCTGCTCTTCATTGTTCAGTCACTAAGTCATGACCCCATGGACTACAGCACACCAGGCTTCCCTGTCCATCACCAACTCCCAGAGCCTGCTCAAACACATGTCCATCCAGTCAGTGATGCCATCAAACCACCTCGTCCTCTGTTGTCCCCTTCTCCTCTTGCCTTCAATCTTTCCCAGCATCAGGGTCTTTTCCAGTGAGTCAGTTCTTTGCATCAGGTGACCAAAGTATTGGAGTTTCAGCTTCAGCATCAGTCCTTCCAATGAATATTCAGGGTTGATTTCCTTTAAGAATGACTGGTTTGGTCTCCTTGCAAGGAGATTAAATCTGTATATAAAATCCACTTAAACCCTTGGCTGCCCACTGACCTGCACACACTAGAGAGACTGCTGCTGCTGCTAAGTCACTTCAATCGTGTCCGACTGTGCGACCCCACAGACGGCAGCCCACCAGGCTCCCCTGTCCCTGGGATTCTCCAGGCAAGAACACTGGAGTGGGTTGCCATTTCCTTCTCCAGCGCATGAAAGTGAAAAGTGAAAGTGAAGTCGTTCAGTCATGTCCAACTCTTAGCGACCCCATGGACTGCAGCCTACCAGGCTCCTTTGTCCATGGGATTTTCCAGGCAAGAGTACTGGAGTAGGGTGCCATTGCCTTCTCCGACAAGAGAGACTGGGTGGCCTGAAAAAGTAACAGCTGGAAGCTACAAGAACTAAATGGGATTTTCAGCTGCTTCCCACTTGAGAAGACAGAATTTGGAGTTTGATCCTAGCCAGTTTCAGTTCAGTTCAGGTCAGTCGCTCAGCCGTGTCTGACTCTTCGAGACCCCATGGACCACAGCATGCCAGGCCTCCGTGTCCATCACCAACTCCCAGAATCTACTCAGATTCATCTCCCATTGATTCGGTGATGCCATCCAAACATCTTATCCTCTGTCGTCCCCTTCTCCTCCTGTCTTCAATCTTTCCCAGCATCAGGGTCTTTTCAAATGAGTCAGATCTTCGCATCAGGTAGCCAAAGTATTGGAGTGTCAGCTTCAACATCGGTCCTTCCAATGAACACTCATTGCCTGCTAAAACAAAATTCAGATCTCTTCAAAGAAACATAACTGAACCCAGAGTCTCTACAAAAAATCAACCAGATGTCTAGTGTACAATTTTTAAAATCACTAAACATGCAAAGAAACAAAAATAAAAGGTGAGCCACAGTCAGGAGATAAAGAAGTCAACAGAAATTGACCCAGGGTTTCCCTGGTGGCTCAACTATTGAGCCTGTGTTCTAGAGGCCAGAAACCCTCTGAGGGGCTCTCGGCCTCCTTCCAGCCCTCATCCTCTTCATGCCCTGTCCTTGGCCACTGAGACTCCAGGGGCTTGGCATGAGATGCTTCAGAGGGTCCTCCACTGGAGGGTTGGAGTCTACAGGTGGTTCCCCTAGAGGACATGGCCCAACAGACAGAACCAACGCCTCTGTTCTCTCCCCAGGTGAACGTCTGGCCACCCTGTTGGTCACCCGAGCAGCAGCGACCTTTTTCCTAGACAGCGGGGCCCAAGACCTGCTTCGGGACCTGCACCGGGCCTTCCGGGAGAGCCCCTCGGGGGCTCGGAGGCAGTTCGAGGCTGTGCTCTCCGCCGGGGACCGTGAGCGCTTGCACGCCCAAGTGCAGGAGGCTGCGGACGTGGGCTTCTCCCACTTCCAGGAGGCCGTGCGGAGTCGCCCCGAGCTCCGCGAGGACTCTGGCCGTGAGCTGCTGGTCCCAGTGACCCGAGCGCTCCGGGTCCTGTGTCGAGTCGCCCCGCCCGGGGCGCGCCCCGCACTGGGCGCCCGACTGGCCGAGTGCCTGCTGCTGGCAGGCGACGCGGCGGGCGCACGAGCGCTGTGTGAGCGCTTGCTCCGGCCCTCGCGCACCGGGGGCCGTGCCGGGGACCGCGCGCCCCTGATGGCGCTGCGCGGCTTCTGCGCGCTACACTCTGGCGACTCAGGAAGCGCCCAGGAGGACTTCCAGGCGGTAGTGGAGCTGGGACCGCCTCACTTGAGTGGCTGCGTGCGCGCCCTGTGCGGCCGCGGGCTGCTGCGAGTGCTGGCGGGCAGCGCCTTCCTGGGTGCACTGGACTACGTTACCGCCTGCCGCCTAGGCCCCGAGGAAACTCTGCTTGTCACCAAGACCTACGTGCCCTGGAACCAACGGGGGCTGCTGCTGACCGTGCTGCGCGAGGAGGGCCGCAAGATGCTGCAGCGGAGGCCAGAGCCAGGACCCAAGAGCTGGCGGGGCCGCCGGACTAAGGCCGCGGAGACAGACAGCCCCGCTGTGCAGGAAGGGTAAACACTAGCCCCGCGCACCCATCTGGGGCTGCTGCTTCATTCTGGTCTGCTCCAAGGTAGTTGGGGTGTGTGCCGTACTACTTTATAGATGAGTAAACTGAGGCAGGGAGCTGCTAGATGGTTTCCCTAAGGCCCTGGTTGGGGGTGTAGTCCTGGAGCCCAGATCTTGGACCCTTGGTCCCAAACAGCAGATACATTATGCACTTAGAAAATTAGAAACTCAAAAATGGAAATGAAAAAACAGAACTTACCCATCATCCCAGTTTGCATTCCCTTGTTTCTCTTTGTACATATAAAATAGAATTCACAAAACTGAATTTGTGCTCACTATGCAAATACAACCCACGTTTTTACTCACTGAATCATGAACATTTCTGCTGCTGCTACTTACCTTTCTCAGACAGCCTGGTAGCTCATCCTGTGAACATCCCATCAGGGCTTCGGGCATTCCAAGCTCCTCTGCTCTTAGCTATAATGCTAAGAGGTAACATCCACTCTTGGACTATTCTGCCCTAAAGATTCGACAGAACCTGAGCTCTGGGGTCAGAGGGCACAGCTCCCTGTGAGGCCCTTGACCCTGGAGCTGCCCACCTGCCCATCAGGCCACATGCTCCAGCCCTGATGCTCCTTCTGCAAATTTCTTCGGCAGCCCCGTGGGTGAAACTGCAGATGTTTTGATTGGCATTTCTGTGGTTGCTGGGAGGTGGTGAGAAGGTGTTTTAGCAAAACTAACACTGAGCGGGGGAGCCCTGGTGTGTTTGATGTCAGCATCCTCATCCCTACACCACACACACACACACACACACACACACACACCACACACACACACACACACACACACACACCACACACACATACACACACACACATACACAGATACACACACACACCACACACGCACACACACATACACAGATACACACACACCACACACGCACATACACAGATACACACACATACACATACACACACACATACACAGATACATACACACACCACAAACACACATACACAGATACACACACATACACATACACACACACATACACAGATACACACACACCACACACACACACATACACACACATTCACACACACACACACACACACACACACACTGGCTTCCTCGGCCCCAGTTCCTTCATTTGCATCGCTTTGATTTGCTGGTGAGGAGGAATTTTCTTGTAGGAGACTTGGGGCCCTTTATACCTGTTCTCTTGGGAACCGTCAATTCCAGGCTCCAACTGTGTCCCAGTAGAAGTTCATGCTCATTCCCAAGAGGGCCCCAGGGTCATTCAGAGTGTAGCCTGTGCGTTATCTAGCTCTGCAGACCACACACCTGAGCCCTGCAAGGCCAACACTGTTACCTGCTTTTTCAGAAAAGAAAACTAGGGCAGAGTGGGCTGGGGGTCAGCATACAGCCTCACTTCCTCATCTGTGAAATGCCTGCCCCATAGGGCGGGAGAGGGTCAGAAAGGGCAGCTCCAGGCTCTGCGGCCAGCATGAGCCGGCACCCTCCTGTAGAAACCTGGTCTCTGAGATGCAGCAGGAAGGGAGCTGCCTGGACAAGGTGCAGGAAGTAGGATTTGCCTGCAGCCCACCTCCTGGGCAGATGGAAGGGATGTAGGGAAGGGTCAGCTCTCCCCCAGCTGCTCTTTCCACAGGGATGCGCACGGCGTGCACCAGCTGGCCACACTCCTGATGGAACTGGACACGGAGGATGAGGCTTCTCACCTCCTGGCAGCTGACGCTCTATACCGCCTGGGCCGCCTGGACGACACCCACAAGGCCCTGCTGGCAGCCCTCTCCCGGAGGCCTCAGGCGGCCCCTGTGCTGACGCGGCTGGCCCTGCTGCAGCTCCGGAGGGGATTCTCCTACGATGCCAACCAGGTGAGAGGGCCCCAGCAGGCCACAGCAGGGCAGCTCGACACAGGACACAGTGCTGTGGAGGGCACCAGGCCCCAACTGGCCCCTCGTTCAACACCCTGTACCCAGACTTGTCCCAGCCCCAGCTTGGCCCAGGCACAGCTTGTCTCAGCCCCAGTTCCGCCACCTCCAGCAAGTCCTCACCTCTCTGACCCTCAGTCTCCTCAACTGTACCCTGGCCTTTCAGGTTCTCATGAGAATTAGCTGCAGCAGGTACCCCAGGGCCCAGTCGACCTCCATCGTGCAATAGTGCTCTGTATCTGCTTTTGTTGTTATGAAGAAAAAGCCATGAGCTGAGCCTCAGCGGAGCTTAGTCCCAAACCTCCCAAGTAAACTAGGCTTGCTGATGACCCTGTCCCAGGCTGGAGGCGCCCCCAGACTCTCCAGCCCTGCTCTCCTCGCTTGGAGACCACTCGGCTCCCAGGGGCAGTGTGACTTCGCCTCCCTCAGCTCCTGTGAGGGCAGAAGATCATGTTCCCAGGAAAGAAATGTCAGGCTTTGGGGCAGAGCTGCGGAACCTGTCAGCCTGCTTCTTCTGCTCTGGCCTTTTTTGGGCTCTGGTCGCCCTGAGTTGGGCCGTAAAGGTGGGAGGGAAGGATGCTCTGGGTCCTGCCTGTCCTGCTCTGGGACCGGCATCCACACATGTGCAGCGGGCAGGGGCAGTATCGGGTGGGTAGCTGTGAAGTTATGTCCCGCCCCATCCCCACTCACTCTGCCCAGAGCAGGGACAAGTCCCATGGTCCCTCCTGGTGCCTTCTGAAGGACTCCCCGGGCCTCTGTCACTTTATTAATTTGAAAGCCCGCTTTCCCTGAACTTCTCAGACCTGCCGTGGGCAGGTCCGTAAGGCCAGATCTCTGCCTGCGGGTAATGGAGGAGGAGGCGCGGCTCTAGGAGGTTAAGTCCATCACCACCATCACCGCCGCCACCCCAGCCCGAAGTCCCTCCCCCGAGGGCCACGCCCCCACGAGCCACGCCTTTGCAAGCCGCATCCCTGAGCCACACCCCTGCGCGGAGGATGGGGGTGGAGCTGTCTGGCCCGGCCTCAGAGAGGGCCCAATGGTGACATCCCTTCCCTTGCAGCTGGTGAAGAAGGTGGTCCAGTCCGGGGACACAGCCTGCCTCCAGTCCACCCTGGCCGTCTTCTGTCACGAGGACCGGCACCTGCTCTGGGTCCACTGCCATGCAAGGGCTCTGGCCATCCTGCGGGCACGACCAGGAGGGGCCAAGGGCGAGGCCCACACCAGGGAGGCCATCGCCTACCTCTCTCTGGCCATCTTTGCCTCGGGTAAGAGCCTCCCGCCCCCCTCCTCCCACCCCCATTCTGCCAGGTACCTGGGGATAAGAGGAGCCTGTGCCATGTGGAGAAGGGGTGTTGTCAGGCACCAGCGGTCTGAGTACATGCTTGGTTCACAGGTGTTTCCTGACCCCTGGTCACCTTCATGCTAAAGCCTAGGAGAGGGCCCAGCCAGCTGGGGCCTGAACTGGGACCCTCCCCTGTATCCTGGGCTCCATACCACACATCCAGGCCCTGAGGGTAGGGGGACCAGGCTGGCACTTTCATGCCTGCAGCCATTCCATGACCAGCTGCTCGGATCCTTCCCCACCTCGTACCTCCCCTCATCTCACCTCAAATGCAGCTGCAGTGCCCCCTCCTCTAGGAAGCCCCCTCTGACTGTCCACCAACTCTCCCAGACACATCCGAGTTGGGCTCCCGGAGCCAGGCTGTGTTCCACAGCCAGGGCCCCCAGGCCAATCCAGACTGCTCCCCAGTGTGTCTTGGTGGCCAGCAGCCTGTGAGCTCCTGAGGCGACCCCAGAGCTGGTGCACCCCTTCCCCCAACCCATTGGGTACCAAGGTGGGTGCAGAAACTACTGAGTGAGGGCAGACATGCTGAACCTGGCTGTGCCCTGAAGAGGTCACAGCCTGACGCCACGCCCCCTTCCTTCAGGAAATCGGGCCACTGAGTCCCTGCTCGTCCGAGCCCACTGTTACAGCTTCCTGGGTCAGAAGAAGACAGCCATGTTTGACTTCACCTCCGTGCTGAGGGCTGAGCCGGGGAACGCACAGGCACTGTGCGGCCGGGCACTCCTGCACCTGGCCTTGGATGAGCAGAAGGTACCGGCCCCACACTCCCCACTTGGGACAGGGTGGGTGGTGGTGCTCAGGAGAGGCACTGCCCTCCTTCTCAGCCCCCCAGGAGAGAGGACACAGGGCCAGGCATCGAGTGTGACACTGCATCAAAACCCTGCCCGCTCTGGGGCTCACAGAGCCTCACCGTCACATCCCTGGTTTCAGGTAGCCTTTCGCTCTCATCTGAAGAGTCGCTGTGCTCCCAGCTTCCATCAATGTGGATAGATATGCAAAGTCTCAGGGTTACTGGGGGGACCCCACCTTGGAGTAAAGAGACCTTGGCTGCCTCTTGGGTGCCACCCTAAGCTGTCTATACAGGACCTGTGGTTTCGGGTGGTTGGCATGCAGGGGCGGGGGTGGGAGGCAGTCCACTGCCAGGCCCAGGGTAGGTACTTTCCACAGAGAAGCTGTGTTCAGAGGCAGCCACAGCCAAACAGCCCTGGACAAGGGCAGTTTGCAGCCAAGAGTGATGTCATGGGTGAGAAACTGAAACCACTGTCTGTTCTGATGCTTCGCTGGGTCAAAGTACAGCCCAGAGGTAACCAGCCTGCCAGGCTTCTGAATTCCTTAAGGACTGGAGTCACAGAAGACAAGGAAAAGAGATCTATCCAAGATACCACCGGAATGAGAGCCTCTGAAGACGGTGCTTCTGCCTGCCAGGGTATCGCGTTTCCCCGAGGTCACTGGCACCTGATGTCTGTTCCAGCCTGGGCACGCACATGTGGTTGGGAGCCCAGCCCTCTGCAGGCCCCTTCCTGTGCTGGGAAAGCACCTGGGTTCTCAGAGACGAGCCCACTAAACAGAGACAGGATTCAGCCAGGAGGCGAACCCCTGGAACCCCGCCCCTGGGTGCTCCCGACATGCCAGCAGCTCCTCTGAGAGGTGCCTCAGAAACATCTCTACACAGAGGCTACCCCACCTTGTCCCCCCCCACCCCGAACTTTCTCCTCCTGGAGATGGGCTGAGGCCAAGTACCCACAAGCCCTCCAGCCTTTCACTAAGAGAGAAGCTCTGAGTCAGCCTGCGAAGGTCCAGAATCCAGAATCCTTCTCCCCCACCTCCAATTTTCTGAGCAAATCCTGAAACATCTCTGAGCTTTGTTTCAACATCAGTAAAATGGGGTGAGGGGTGCTTATTCAAGGTCATCAGATCCTCAGCCTTGAGAGGGAAGTGCTTATTCAGGGCTGTCAGATACTCAGCCTCATGCATGCGAGTGTGCTCAGCCATGTCCAACTCTCTGAGACCCTATGGACTGTAGTCTGCCAGGTTCCTCTGTTCATGGAATTTTCCAAGCAAGAATACTGGAGTGGGTTGCCATATCCTACTCCAGGGGATCTTCCTGACCCAGGGGTCAAATCCAGGTCTCTTTCCTCTCCTGCATTGGCAGGTAGATTCCTTACAACTGCGCCCCCTGGGAAGCCCCATTCAGCCTGGTGCCCGGTCATCAGTGAGGGCTCCGTGGGTGGGAGCTGGAATTCCCATGAGCCAGCACAGAATTGGACTTTTTTCTTGCAAAGGTAACCAGCCAATAGGTTTGCCACTGGCCAGCACCAGTCAGCTAGGACCCAGGTCATGGTCTAGGGAGGATTAGAGAGGACCGTACTTTCATCCCGCCATCTAAGGACTCTGTCTAAGACCTTGTCCCCCCGTTCCTGGACTTTAAAAGTGTGTGACTAGAAGAGGTAATAGATACTGGGCTTCTGAAAACAAAATACCTAGATAAAATACATGGCAACTGTCTTCAGACCCTGGACAACAGACAGTGAAGACCTGCCATCCCTGAGAGAAGGGAAACCACAAAAGGGGAGCCCCAGGGGAGCCCCACAATAACCTTTCTGCCTGGGGAGCCTTTCCTGTTACTCACCAGGAGGTGGGGCAGTCAGCCTGCTGAGCTGAGGAGGCAGAGGCTGGGATTCCTGGCTGGTGCGGTAGCTGAAATTTGCAACAAAGGGCAATGGAGAAACTGGGGCTATGCAGAGGGGAGAAGCCTTCATAGGATTCCATGTGGGTTCTTGTCTGAGCTGATCTGCACGTGCAGGGGCCCCACAGAGCTCACAGGTGGCAGGAGATGTTGGAATCCTGACCCCGTCAGAGCAGACACTCTTCTGAATACCTTAGGCACTCAGCTGAGACCATGCCCTAAGTAAAGTTCATGTTTTTAGTCACTTCAGTCATGTCCGACTCTTGTGACCTAGTGAACTGTAGCCCGCCAGGCTCCTCTGTCCATGGGATTTCCCAGGTGAGAACATTGGAGTGGGTAGCCATTTCCTTCTTCAGGGGACCTTCCCAACCCAGGGATCGAATCAATGTCTCCTGCTTGACAGGCAGATTTTTTTACCACTGAGCCAGGTGGGAGGCCAAGTCAAGGTCATATTTTAGGACTAAGTTCAAACTGAAGTGGATCTGCCCTCACAAGGAACAAAACCAAATCTAACAGAAACAAAATGAGCCACCAGAATAAAACACAACCTCCTTTATGAGATGGTGACATAGTCCAGACTCTACAATGTACTATTCACAACTTCCAGTCAAAAATCAAAAAACTGCTGAACACCCAGAGAACCAGGAAATGTGACCAATAATCAGAAAACTAAGTACTCAATAGAAACAGAACTTGAGATGGTACAAATGTTGAAATTAATAGATAAGGGTGTTAAAACAGGGATTATAAACATGTGAAGAACATCAAGGAAAATTTTTCATGAGTGAACAGATGGAAAATCATAGCAGAAAAACAGAAACTATAGAGAAGAATCAAGTGGAAATTCTGGAGCTGAAAGGTGTATCTAAAATTTTAAATTTACCAGATGCGCTTAACAACTGCCTGGAAACTGCCAAAAAAAGGTTAGTAAAATTAAGGATGGACCAGTAGGAATTATCCAATCTGAAGAACAGAGTGGGGGAAACGATTTTCTTCTTAATGAAGGGGGCTTCACTGACCTCTGGGATGATACCAAGCAGTCCAGCATATGTATAATTATAGTTCCAGAGGCGAAACAATGGGCAAATATATGTGTGTGTATTTATACTAATACATGTATTTGTTGTTGTAAAAGTATTTGAAGAAATAATGCCCAAAAACTTTACAAAGAGCTCAACAAATCCCAAGATGATAAACACAAAGAGAACCACACTTGGGCGACTCGGAGACGACCGAACAACAGAAGAGCAGTATGAGCAATGACTGACTTTTCATAGAAACAGTGGAAGCCAGAAGACAATGGGATGGCATTTCTAGAGACACATTTTGTACTTATGGGCTTCCCAGGTGGCTCAGTGGCCAGTGCAGGAAATGCAGGAAATGCAGGTTCAATCCCTGGGTCGAGAAAATCCCCTGGAGGAAGAAATGGCAAGCCACTCCAGTATTCTTGCCTGGAAAACCCCATGGACAGAGCAGCCTGGCTGGCTACACAGTCCATAGGGTCAAAAGAGTTGGACATGACTGAGCAGCTGAGCAAGAGACTGTAACCTATAGGACAACAGCTAGAAAATGTTAAAGAGAGGCAGAGTTTCCTGTTTTGTTTTGTTGTGTTGTGTTTTTGTTTTGGCCGCAGCACAGCTTGCAGGATCTTAGTTCCCTGACCAGAAATCAAACCTGTGCCCCCTGAAGCAGAATGTAGAGTCCTAACCACTGGGTAGTCAGGGAATTCCCAAAAAGAGGCAGAGTTAAGAGGCTAAAGGAAGAACTAAAATAAAATAATAAACCTATTCAATTAACCCAAAAGAAGGTAGAAAAGGAGGGGGAAAGACATCAAAGTACAAAGAAAAGGACAACTAGAAAACCAACAGGAGGATGGACCTGAGGGTGGTTTCATGGCTCCTGACTGTTGGCCAGGTCAGAGGTCAGATGCAAATGACTCTCCAGGGTCAAGTTTCTCCTAAAGGGCCCAGCCTCCCTGGACCTCATGTGCTTCCACAGCATCATCAGGGCCTCCAGACTCCTCTTCCCCTCCTCACCTCTGATCTGCAGACTCAGCCCCTGGCCTCTGGCCCTTCTGCTGCCAGCCCAAGCCCCGCTCTGTGCCATAGCGGGTTCTTGATCAGCATGGCCCTTCTGGGGCTCCAGGCCATCACCCCTGTCCATAACTCTGATACCATTGCTGTAACTTCACCACACACTGCCTTGACAGCTCACCCTACAGGCCCTCCTGTTGACTGACCCTCACCCCATGGTGAAAGGGCAGGGACTGGACCATCTGCCTGTTCTGCTGTCCCCAACACTAGGGCACTGAGAGGAACACAACAAATATGGGACGACTTCTGCCACCCACCCTGACCTCCTCCCATTGCAGGAGGCTGTGGACGACATCCTCTCCGCTCTGAGGCTCAGCCCGAGAACCGCAGTTCTTGAGATCTGCTCTCTGAAGCCGGAGGCCCAGGCCCTCATCACCCAGAGCCTCTCCTCCCACTGCCGGGCCCTCCTGAGTCAGCTGCCGGACACAGGCGCCTGCCTCGGTGACAAGGATGCCCAGAACCTCCTGGCTGCAGGGAAGGCACTGATTGAAATTGATGCCAGGCAGCCCCTCTGGCACATGCTCCTGGCAGATGCGCTCACTGCAATGGGTATGTGTCTGCCCAGGCACAGGACGTGAGCATCGTCCCTACTTCTCCCACCCTGGACTCTTTTGTGTAAAATGGGAGAAAGAGACCCTGGACTCAGTGGCATCTAAGGTACCTCCCACCCTGAGTCCCAGGACTCGTGACCTGTTCCCATGTGGGTCCACTGTGCAACTTTGTCCACCAGGAGATGAGCTGAAGCCATGATTTGGGGTTTTGTGAAAGGCTCAGATGCTTAGGCCTCCTCTTTAACTCATGCATTTATTCAGATGTTTACAGACTTCCCTGTTATGGGTGAGACTGTCTTGGGCCCACATGTGCCAAAACATTGGTCTTTACTGCAAAATCCTGAGAATATTTCAGCACTAAGTTGAACGGGGAGCTCTCTCTGCAACCTGCATTTCCCGGGCATGTCATCATCATTTCCAAGCCTATGAGGTGCCCCCACCAAGGCCTTTGGGGACCCTGGAGGCTGCTCTGATCCCATGCAGCCCTACTCAGGAGAGAAAGCAGGTCCTTTCAGTGACCATGGTGAGGGAGTTCCGAGTCCTGCTGCTCCACCTGGGGGTCATAGAGTTTAATGACACCCCCTAGATGAGGGGCTCGGTCATCAGGTGAATCCATGTGACCGACAAGGTGTCACTGTGCCCCTCTGTTCCCTGCTCCTTCCTTCTGGGACTAAGGCCTTCCATTAACCAGCCACTCCCAGAGCCAGAGCTGAACAAGAAATACTGTACTGAGCTTCCTAGTGTCCCCTTCCACCACCGCCCTAGCCCCACTGTGACTGTCCTCCAATCCCTGACAGGCAGCTTTGAGGAGGCCGGTGCCCATCTGCAAAAAGTCCTGCACCCCACCCCTCCATCAGAGGCAGCCCGCGCACGGCGTGGGCTGCTCCGGCTCAAGCAGGGGGATGTGGTGGCCGCTGTACACGACCTGCAGTGCCTTGCAGAGACCGATGCCCAGGACCTCGGCTTCCTACTATGTCTCCTGGAGGCTTCGGAGCGGCAGAGCCTCACCCAGGTGGGCACAGCACCCCTCAGAGTCCCCAGCCCAGCCCCTCTCCAGCACCTGGTGTGTGAGACCCCCAGGTCTGGAGCCCTGGGAAGTGCTGCAAGCCCCCCTGCACCTGATCAGGAGAAGGCATCTGGGTCTGGCCAGCTCAAGCCCTGACACCCCCAGGGTGTCTTCTTTGCGTGAAACATATAAGCTGACTTGGGGTTGAGGAGAGGGAGGGGACGGCACCCTCAGAGCCAGATTGAGCTAAGCAGGAACACTTGGCCCTCATTGGAACCGTGCCCCAATCCCCTGGTCAGGCCAGGTGAAGGACGTCCATCCAGAGAGCAAGCAGGTGAACACTTAGTGAACCAAAAGGGACCCTGAAGGGATGTTGCGCTGGGGCTCTTTGGGTAGGGGATTTTTCCTTCAGCTGCTCATTTGACAAGAAGGTAAGAGCACATTCCATCAGGCCCTGGGTGGAGCCACTGCCAGCACCATGCCCTCGCATCTCAGGGGGGTACCACAGTGGGGGGGGGGGTCACTTCAGAGGGTGAAAGTGTAGGAAGACCATGAGACAGGGCAGTGGGGTTGCGAGGCAGCTCTGGAGGTGAGATCTCCATGGCAATACAGAGGCCAAGGCAAAAGACTGCAGGCAGAAAAGAACTGGAAGTGTTCAAGGAACAGGTGAGCAAAATGCAGCTGGTGTGGAGTGCAGGGGAAGGGGCATGAGGAGAGGTTCAGGGTGGGGGCAGAGGAAAGGGCCCCTTCCTTCACCTGCTGGAGGCAGAAGCAGCCAGGCAAGTACAGGAAGAGGACTGGGGGAATGCAGACAGCAGAATAGATTTCCCTGCAGTGGCTGAATTTAACTTTTTTTTTTTTTTGAGGGAGCAGGGGATCAGGTGGGCTGTGAAGGGACCAGTAGGTGGTAGAAGCCAAGAGCATCAGCAGGCCAGTCAAGAACCCCTGCACGACCTGGGGCAAGAATTTCACCGCTTTATGCTTCCACAGGCTCTGTCACTCCAGGTCCATCAGGAAAACAGAACCACCTAGGGGTTTCAACGAAGGGTCAATATGGAAGTTGGCTGGATGGGCATTAAGGACAGAAAGAGCTAAGGGAGCCAAGAGCAATGTAGGCGGGCTGCCCTTGTAGGGCTGAGCAGGCCAAAACTGATAATGAAAGTCGCTCAGTCATGTCTTTACGCTCTTTGCAACCCCATGGACTGATTCTCCAGGCCAGAATACTAGAGTGGGTAGCCTTTCCCTTCTCCAGGGGATCTTCCCAACCCAGGGATCGAACCCAGGTCTCCCGCGTTGCAGGCAGATTCTTTACCAGTTGAGCTACAAGGGAAGTCCAAGAGCATATCAAGGAAGCCCTGAGCAGACCAAGGAGCGTGTTATCAGGACCGAGAACCAGAGGGGCGGCTGCGAAGCCCAGAGATCTCAGAGGCGGGTCCTGGGCTAGAGTCTCAGAGCCCAGAGGAAGGGGAGGAGGGCTGTGAGCTAGGAGAAGGGAGCTAGGTTGAGGTCTCGGAGTTCACAAGACAGGGCTGGGCAAAGGTGTGTCTTTGAGTTCTTAGAAGGGCTGGGCCGGGAGATGAGCGCTGAGCCGGGCCGCCTGGAGACTGGTTTCGTTACTGAGAGAATTAGTGAGACGCTGGGCCGTTGCTGGGCGACGCGGGCCAACACGGAAGTAAGACGGAAGTAGTGGCGCCCCGTTTCCGGCGGTACTACGCCTGCGCGGCTGGTGTCGCTTTGTCACTTTCCACTCCTACTTCTCAGAACCCGTAGGTGAAGTAAGAAGAGGTGGAATAGTTGCCCTGGGCTGTGCGGGGGGTTGACTCTCTTGCTGATGCTCTTGACCTCCCCGTAGAGAGGGCGCTGCACCGATAGAGTCGCCGATCCTCTGTGGCACGGCCAGGAAGACAAGACCGCGTGCTCACCTGCTGGGTGCACTGTGCTTTCCTGGGGACAGGCGGTGGCCGGGGGCGTTGGTATCACCTGACTGCATGGGAGAGGGAGGGACAGCAGGAGAGGCAGCGTCTGGTTTGTTCCCCATCAGGCCTTGGGGAGCCACTGTGGGTTCTTGAGAGCAGGAGGAGCCAAGGGAGGCAAGCGGATTTATCCGGGGTGGATGGCGAGAGAAGGTAAGGCATTTTGGCAGGTCTGAAGAGTGGGCTTCCGCCACACTCAGGAAAGGAAAGTGAGCCTGGGGGGCAGAGGGGTGGCATTGGCCCTTGGAGCTGCTCCACCCAGACGGGGGCGGCCAGGGCCTCAGTCCAGGAGTCCCCAGGGCAAGAGTGCTAGGATGGACAGCGCCCTCTGACCTCTGGCCCTTCCCTGCTGCATCCACGGGGCAGAGGGTGAGTCCACCACAGCCTTCCTGGACACACCGGGGGCGCCTGGAGAGTGTCTCCCTGGCCTTGACTCTGTCTCCACTGGACTGGTTGGCTAGTGAAGTGAGAAGAGCGCTAGCACAGAGCAGACCCTGCTTTTCTGATCTGGGGTCCAGGAGGGGGCTCCAGGAACAGGCTGGACAGAGGAGCAATTGCTGCTGTCCTGGGGCTGGGCAGCCTTGGGGGAAGGGGGAAGGCTGGCTGCAGCCCCATCAGAGTGGGAGGAGCAGAGGGAAGAGAGAAGGTCACCCAGGTAAGAGGAGCTGGGACCACAGTTGGGGCAGTAGGGCTGTGAGAAGCAGGGTGAAGGGATTACAAGGAGGTGGTCACTGCCCTGTGCCTCCATACACTACCCCCCAGAAGAAGCAGACAGCATTTGCACAGGGGAGCAAGCAGTGGCTCGCTGTGCAGGGCTTGGAGGGGATGGCCTGACCTCCCTCCCTCTGTCCCCTCTGTGCAGGCTGCAGCCCAGGAAGCTGACACCCTCCTGAACTTGGGACAGCCCCGCCAGGCGCTGGGCTACTGCTCGCTGGCTGTCCTGGCGGGCGGCAGCAGCACCTGTCACCTACGCCGTCGGGCCACCTGCCTGGCCGAGCTACGGGAGTTTAGCCGGGCACTTGGAGACCTAGACCACGTGTTCCAAGAGGGCTCAAGGGACAGCAACCTCCAGACACAGGTGGAGGACTTCTGCTCCCGGGGCCGCCTGCTTCTGGGTCTGGGGGATGAGGCTGGGGCTGCGGGGGCCTTCGCCCAGGCCCTCCACCTGGCACCCACCCAGGCCCAGAGCAGCCTGTGGGAGCAGCCAGGCCGGGCTCCAGCCACCCACATACTCTTGTGCCAGGCGCGGTGTTGCCTGGTTGAGCAACGCTACAGCGAGGCCTGGACGGTGGCCGAGGCTGGCCTCCTGTTGGACCCAGAGCACAGCAGCCTGAAGAGGCTGAAGGCGAGAATCCGGAGGGAGGCATCCTCTGGCTGCCGGCTCCACTGACCAGCACTCCCCGGGCCCAGCTGTGGGGCCACCCTGTCATCGTCATTCTTCGTCCAGTCCCTGGGGAGGTTGCTCAAGGAGGTGCTCCCCCCACCCTCTCCCTCTTCCTAGACTTGGGTGGGTTGGCAGATGGCCAGCCTTGGGCAGCAGAGGAGAAAGCTCCCCACCTGCCTGGAGCAACCATCCTAGGAAGCTCAGAGCCTCTTCCCTTAACAGCTACCTGGTCCTCAAAGCTGGGGCCCTCTTGGCCCACACGTAGGGCTTGGGCCTTAGAGAGAAGTCCTGTTCCTTGTCCCTCGCTTGGGACCTGCAGGTTGAGTGGGGTTCAGGCTGGCCCCTCATAGCCCTGGGGAGATAGTGACAGCCCAGGAAACCCTTCTCCAGATGTGGAGCAGCCCTTGACCCTGGCCTGACCTCTGGCCAGACATCCTGCAGGGCCTGGAGCCCCTCAAGGGCAAAAACTCTCAAGCTGGGCCCAAAACCTATGCTTTCATCAAGGTTGTTCTCTAGGGAAGCCAGCACCTTGGGAAGATGATATGGCCTCCCTCCCCTGCCAAGCAGAGACACCTACCCCAAGGGGCCCACAGTGAGCAGAGCAGCCAGGCATCTACTTGGCATCCGATCTCCTGTTGGATGTAAAGGTGCTTCCTACGTGATTAGACTTACCCACCCCCACCACAGTTGCCTTGGAAAACCTTCTCTCCTTGGGGGAGTGGAGAAGTCCAGCCATGGTCCCATTGCTGTTGGTTTCAAAGAAGCCAGGTCTGAGTTGTGCAGTTTTTCTCTCCTGTTTATGAACACAACTGCTGGACAGGCCATTGAGTAAAGCAAGGGACAGAGGGTGCATTTGCTCTCCTTCCCGCAAGACGTCCTGCCCTCATCTGTCCACTCAAGGCCACTCAAGTGAGCTCGCAGATGCCTGACTCACCACAGCTTCCCAGGAGCTGATGGTCTTCGAAGAGCCCCCAACCAGTCTCCCACCCCCAGCTCCTCACTGCTGAGCTGGCAGAGACCCCCACCCCGAGTCCTCCCCATCCACTTCCATGTGGGCCAGGGGTCGTTACCACATCTGCAGGTCCATGTGAGGCCATATCCCAGCCTCCCACCATGGCGCCCAAGTGGACAAGAACTCATAGGCCCTGGATGGCCTCCATCATAGCAGAATGATCTGGTGGTTTCTATATGAATCATATTGTCCCCCTGAGAACACAGGCTGCACCTTGTTTTCTCAAAATCCAAGGTTACCAAGAAAATGTTTATGATGTGGCACAGAGAGCATTACCTACTCTCAAGACAATAAAGCTGTAAATTGATGCTTTAAAATTCCCTGCAGGTGAAACACCTCTTGGATCCAAAAACAAAACTGGAATTTCAGAATATTGGAAAAATAGTTAAAAAAAAAAAAAAAGTCCAGGGGAACCCCTATGTGTTGCAGTGCCCAGAGAAAAGTTCACGCCCTGAGTGCATCACTAGCCAATCAAAATGAAGTGCATCCTAAACTTGAGAAGTTTAAAAAGGACAGTGAAATAAAGGAAATTAACAGGCAGGGATGAATAACAGGAAGCAGAAGTTAATGAATTAGGAATAGAAAAGGGAAAGAACTCAAAAACCCAAAATACAGTTCTTCAAAAATCAAACAGATGAACCAGTAGCTGACTTAATCTGGAAAGACAGGAAAGGCACAAAGCCACAAAATTTTTAGAAGTAAAAACAACACACGGGAAATTTAAAGAATCATAAGACATCACTTTTCTCAACTCTATGCAAATAAGTTTGAAGCCCTGGATAAAATGTGTTGGTTCCTAGGAAAATATTATTTAACTGAACTGACTCCATTGCACAGGACAGTTATCATGGAGGGAAAGAGAAGGTGGTTAGGGAGCTTCCCCCAAAACAGCTCCAGTTCCAGATGGTGTCGGGGAGATCTGCCAGCCTTTAAAGAACAGTCAGCTCGTAATTGCTTTAAACTCCTTCACAGCCAAGAAAAAGAAGAAAAGCTTCCAAGTTATTTTTTTCTGTTGAAGGATCATTGATTTACAATACGGTGTTAGTTTCTGCGGCTCAGCAAAGAGATTCCGTTACACGTATATGTGTATATATCTATATTCTTTTTTTCGATCCTTTTCCATTATAGTTTATTACAAAATACCAAATATAGTTCCCTTCCAAGTTTCTTTTTTTTTAGAAACCATAATCTCAACCAAATGAAAGCCACAAACCCATTTCATTTACAAATTATCAGTTCATAAACCCTAAATGAAGTGACAACAAACCTGAATTCAACAAAACGTTTGACAGCAACGTACATGGGAATGCAAGGGTTTTTCAAAATCCGGAAATGTGTTTGTATTGTTAACCACAGAGATACTTAAGGAAAGAAAAGGTCTGTGGCCATACAGGGGACTGTATCAGAGGTACGGGTCATGCATGATAAATCCTCTCCAACGTGTCACCTCCCTGCGCCCTTGGGTTCCTTCCTCTATGTTACACAGGAGAGGTTCTGGCATCTCAGCTTCATTGGCTCACCAGGCTCCTCTGTCCCTTGGATGTCCCAGGCAAGAACACTGGAATTATTGCCATTTCTTTGCCATTTCCTCCTCCAGGCAATCATCCCAACCCAGGGATCCAACCCGTGTCTCTTGCATCTCCTGCTTTGGCAGGCGGATTCTTCAGCGCTGAATCCCAGGGAAGCCCATGACCAACACACAAATTCAGAATCTTTGGCTGGTGCACCCATGTGAGTGGAGCCAACCCAGCTCAGTGCTGTGCTCCCTCCACTGCAGTCTGCCAGCCCTGACCCATCCCCACATAATCCCCAGGATTCTTGGTGTCGATTAATTATGTCTTGAAATTGTTTGGATCCATTACTGTAAGCTGTTCTATTCTGGGTACTCGCCCCCACCCTGAGCATGCAGAGATTGGACCCTACTTGTGGGTCTGGGGGCTAACTATGGATGTCAAGTAGAATGAGCAGCCTCTTTCTAAGTATCTAGTCCACAGGAGGTTCTCACAGGGTTTTTAGTGAAAGGGGCTTGTCTCCTTGGACATGGGAGTGGCTCAGAGGCCCCAGGGGTTTGAGGTTCTCAGCCCCATCTGAGGCCAACCAGACATCACATTCCTAGTTTCAGGGTCCCATTCCTTCCCTATCAGTGCCTGAACTTTCTCCTAAGAAACTTGGCAAGGCTGTGAAAGTCCCAGCACTGATTGTACTAACAGGAGCAGATGTTGTGTCTGTCTTTCAGCCTTGTCAGCCCTGTGCTTGTGAGACAGGAGGGCCTCTCAGGGCTGTGGTGGAGCTGAGCCCAGACCTGAGCTCCTGTCACCTCCACGTGAGTGTGCAGGACACCAGGGGCCTCGGGGCTGCTCAACCATAGCAGCACGCAGCCCTCGCTCCCTGGGCCCAGATTCAGCTGTCACTTCACAGTGACAGTGAGCATGGTGGTGGCTCGGTCACTCCTAAAGCCGCTGCCATGAGTCACGTCTCCCAGGCACTCAGTCCCACGGTCAGGCCCAAGGATACAACCAGGCTGGTTCCCAAACTCCATGTTTGGGGGCGCCTCCTGGGGCCATTCCTAGTGGCCAATTCATGTGTCATCAGGGTCCACTTAGGAGACAGAAACCACACACGTGATTTAAATAGTGAGAATTTAAAGAACAGTTAGTTATGAGGGTCTCAATTATGTTGTTAATTTGGTCACTAACTTGTGTCCGGCTCTTTGCAACCCCATAGACTGCAGCACACCAGGCTTCTCTGTCCTCCACTATTCCCAGAGTTTGCTCAAACTCATGTCCATTGAGTCAGTAATGCTACCTAACCATCTCATCCTCTGCCGCCCCTTTCTCCTTTAGCCTTCAGTCTCCTAGCATCAGGAATACAGGAGTAAAATAACTAGGGATCACAAAAGTAGCAGCCAGAGTTCCAAGACAGATGACTGGCCCTTCCGCATGGGCTGTCAGCCACCACGTGCACCCTTCAGCTCCTCTGCACCTGCCCCTCACCCCCACCCCCGCCAGGTGTTTCCCAACCACACAGTTGTGCCAGGCACCACACATCTGTCCTCTTGTCTGACTCCAAGACAAATCTTATAGAGGAGGGGTCTGATGTTCCAGCTGTTGGTGCTGGGGGCGGGGCTCGGTGATGGGAGACCTGGGGCAGAGTCAGACCGCCCCGCCCCCTCCTCCTGTCTAGGATGCCTGCCACTTGACTCCAGGAGGCAGCAAGCAGGACAGTGTTCAGGGTTCTCCCAGAGGCCCAGCTCTCAGCTCAGCTCTCCAACTGCCTCGAAATACTTAATCTCTTCCAGCCAGCCTGTCTTCTCCAAGCGGGGCACCTCCTGCCTGCCTGGAGTGTGGGTGGGCAGACCCAGGGAAGGTCTGTTTCCTGCCGGGCTGAGGACCAGAGGCATGCCTGCCAGGGGACGCTGGGCTTCGGGCAGAGGATAGGACCTGCCCGAAACCGCCCGGCCCAAGGGCATGGGGCAGGGAAGGACTAGACCCAGCAGTAAAGGGCAGGTGTCTGCAGGGTCTGAGGGCAGCCCCAGGACCAGAGGTTCTAGACCCCAGGCTCTAGACCTGCCCTGGTCCCAGGACTGGGGAGGGAAGGGGCACCCACTCCCTGCCCTCATGAAGGTGCTGCCTCCTTGGACCCCAGAGCTAAGGCTGGACTCAGACCTCCACCTCCCACATCTACTGCCCAAGAGATGGGGAGGAGTAGACAGGGAGCCTGCACTGGCCCTTGAGCTCATCTAGGAGAAAGGACTAAAGTCCACCTTGGGGAGGTTGTGCTCCAGGCAGCTAAGTCACGGCCCATCCAGGGACTGGGCTGGAGGTCTGTAGCTCCTTAGCCTGTGGGCTCCCCTTTTCCAGATTCTCTTGGAGGGCACCCAGTACCACTATGCTGGGTTCCCCCAGAACCTGCTGGCCTCAGTGCAGTGCCCACCATGAGGCAAGTCCAGGGCCCAGGCCTGCTGCTCATGCAATTTCTTTCATTGATAGAGCTACAGACAGGGAGGACCCTGAACAGGGCAGCGTGAGTGGGAAAGTGCAGCTCAGCTCCAGAGACCATCCAGGTGGCCTTGGGTCGGGGATGGGGGCACCTCTGGTTGGACGGCACAGAGCATGGGTCCCCAGAGCCAGCACACTCTGGAAAGGAGTCTCTAGTCAGCAGGCTGGATCCTGACCCAGCCCTGGCTCCTGAGAAGGGCAGTTCCTGTTTCTCAATCCCCTGACCTTGGCCTTGTCTCCATTCAGACCAGCAGCCTGGGTAGCTCCTTGCTCAGGCTATGTCTCTGGGCCTTTGGTTGGGGGTCTGCCAGGACAACCAGGGGGCTGAGACAAGCCCTGCCTGGGGGCTAGGGCTGGTTTCTGGAATCTGAGTCCCTGAAGCATGACCCTCCCCCCAGCACAGGGGCCAACCTAAGAGACCACCGGAACTTGGACTGGAACATTCCAACAGGACCCAGGGTGCGTCTTCTGGTGAGGGGATGGAGTGAGCAGTTGTTTACCCCAGATCCCTGGTTCTTGGCCTGGCCCCAGCCTTGGACACTCTTACAGAATCCCAGGAGCCCAAGGGGATCCCTCCATCTGTGAGATTCTGAAATGGAAGCAGAACCATGCTGGTGACCAAGTCAGGCCTGGAGAAGAGACATCTGGGTTCTGACTGGGGCCTCCTTTACCCAGAGCCCCCAACTCTGGCCCCATCATCGGCCAGGGGTGCCTAACTAACACTGAAGCACTGGGGTGCCCCTGCCAACCCCAGAGGCCCTCTCCTGTTCCCGCAGTCAGAGCCACCTGCCTTCTGGGGGTCAGTGTCTCAGAGTGGGGACCCTCCCTGGCAGCCCCACCCCCACCCCATCATGATGAGCAGGGATGCCTGCTCCCCTCACAGCACAGCAAGGCCCCCAGAACCCACCACCCTCACTGGACCCTCCCTGGAGACAAAAGAGAAAGGAACCCCGTGACAAGGGTGGTTCTTGGTTCCAACCTCTCCGCCAAGGTGGCCAGGGTAAGGAGAAGGGCCTGGCCTTCCTTCCCAGGAGCTTTGTGGCCTCTTTGAACCCAGGGGACAGGAAGGATGGAAGAAAGGCAGGAGGCAGGAGCCTCAGTCCCGAGAGACTTCGCTCGCTCAGCAGGGAGCCTAGAGCCCCCAGAGCAGCTCTTGGCCCCTCCCCCACACCAAACCTAGATGGAACTTGCCAACTGTGAGCAGGAGGGGGTCCGCCTCCAGAGAACCCATGCTTGCATCACAAAGGAGGCCAGAAGCCCCACCAGCCTCTCCTGGCCCCGCCTGGAGCCACTGTCTCCCACCCTGGGAGCCCTCCTGACTCAGCCTTCTGAGACATGTCTGTGGTGGCCTCTCTGAGTAACCCAAAGGTGAGCCGGGCAAGGGGCCTGACTGCCGGGCCAGCTTTCCTGGGCAGTGCAGCCAGGAGAACACCCTCCAAGCACCAGCCCACTGTCCAGGCCACAGACAAGCAGCCCAGCACAGCCCCCCAACTCCTGTAAGGAGCCCTGTCCACCCAGCTGGCTACAGAGGCCTGAAGATGCCATGACCGTGTCTCTGGGGAGGTGGGGTCCCCAGCTTCTCCCCCTGTCAGCACCTGGCTTTGTCCTCAGTCCTCAGAGTTTTTACTGTGTGCCTATCTTTGTTATGCGGAGTGCCCTGGAGTCAGCAGGACACAGTAAAGTGGACTAACTGAGTGATGAGTAGACTCATTAGATCTGATCAGAGAAGATGCTGGCAAAACCAGGGCCACAGGTGCTAAGTTGGGCTCAGATAAGTCAGCCTGACTCATCCTTTGGTTCATTCATTCAAGTCAGTGGATGCCTCCAGGGTCATGGGCACTCACCTAGGTCCTCAGGACCAGGTTGAAGGAGCCCTGTGACTTCCACACTGACACCCCCAATGGGGAGGTGGGCAATGGGAATAGAAATAAGGACTGTAGAGGCTGAACCACAGATGAGGTGGTGAAACAGTTCAGGTCTGGGGGTGGGCCAGACTGGGGGAGGCCTGGCTAAGGGGACCTTAAGCAAGGACTTCCAGAAGGGGAGGGGAGCAGAGGGAAGTGATGGAGGCCTGGCTGCTCCTCCCTGGTTGGGTTGTGTGGCAGTGATGTCAGAGGGCTGAGAGACCCACCCTCCACCCCTCACCCCACAGTGAGTCTGGACACGTCTTGGCGTTGAGAACAGCTAATCCAGTCATGGGCAACCTCAGGCCACGCTTATCTGCCAGCAGGCAAGACTGGGTCTGTCCTCTGTGCTGGTGTAGACTGGGCCCCAGTCCCGACATCAGGAGTGTGAGCTCATGTGAGGACTGAAGCTGGAAGGGCAGCCCACTCTCCCTGGGGATCCAGGCACCTTTCTCAGTCAGGGCCCTGAGTGCCAGTAACAGAGGCGTGCACATGCGCACACACACACATACACCCAGGAGCATGTGCACATGTGTACATGCATATGTGCATGTTCACACACTCATCCCATGCACTCACACACACACACACGTGCATCCACACGTATACTCACATGCACAGGGGACTCATGCAGCCCTCTGTGAACCGTCCTCACTGACCCGGGCAGTGCACCCTCTCCTGCCCACAGCTGCAGCCCGGGGTGTCCTCCATGCTGCTTGGAGCCTGGCTGTCACCACCTGGCCGGCTGGAGAAGGCGTCCCCTCTGTAGTGACAGGGTGGGGGGACAACTGCTGAAGCTGTCCTGCCGTGTCCTGTCTTGGCTTACATGGTCACCACAGTCACTCTTGCCTCCCCCTAGACCCCTTAGGCTCCAGGCAGGAACAGTGAGCAGGGAGCCCAGTGGCCCAAGCCACCTCCCAGAGGGTGTCCCTGGTGCAGGGGGCCCACAGCTCCAGGACATCCCCCAAATCGGGACAAGAGCCCCAGGCAGGATCCGCTGCAGAAGCCCCTCGATTACTTGGGAGCTGGGTCTCCTGGGTCCTGCGTGCCCACCCCAAGCTGTGAGCTGAGCGACCCCAGACCAATCTCTGCCCGAAAGCAGACTTAGAGAGGCCAACCTCCAAAAGGGACTGTCAACGGGCCAGGGCCGGGCCAGGGCCGGGCCTGACCCACCCCGGGCCGTGTCCTGCACTCAGACTCCCTGGGAGAGGGAGGAGAACCCTCAGGCGCAGGACCTGGGATGGAGAAAAGGGCCGAGCACCCTCGAGCCTCGGGCAGGGCCTCCCTAGCGCCACACCCAGCCCCCGCTGCCCTGACGCCCCACCCCGGGTGGACGCCACCCCTGCCTTGGCCTTGGGGCTCCTCCGCTGTGCTCTTTCCCGTCTAGAGACTTGCGATGGGCAAGCCCGAGAGCCCAGTGGGGATGGTGGAGATCGCCGGCCGCTCGGGGCAGAAGCACCGAGGCTTCCTGGAGGCGGGGCTGCTGCTGCTGCTGCTCCTGGTGACCGGAGCCCTGGTCACCCTGGGCCTCCTCTACGCCGACAGCAGAGGTGAGTGGGGGCGCCCCCTTCCCCCGGACGGGTCACGGGCACCCTGCTCACCGCGCTGGTCCGCACCCGACCTCCGGAAGGTCTGCGCGCCCGCCCACTCAGATGAGCCCGCCTGACGAGCAGGGCAGGCGGGGTCTGCGCGGGGCACCGGGGGCGGCCCGGCTGTGCTGTAGCCTGGAGATGAGGTGCACTGACCTGTGGGGACCGGGGCCCTTTCTGGAAGGCTCTGCCCAGGCGCGGGCTGGCACCAGGCTGGTTCTGATTAGGCGGGCCTCTGCCGGACTTCCGAGAAGCGGTAGACCCTGTCCCCCGCCCCATCCGCGCGCCCCCTCCCCTCCGCTGCCGCACAGAGCGCTGCAGTTCCCGGCCGGCCCAGCAGCAGGAGCCCGCGCTCCGGCACTGGGACTCGGGGCGCAGCATCCTCCGGCCGCCGCGCTCACCTGCCGCCTCCCTGGCTTCCGCCAGCAGGGACCTCGCTGGGATCCTCCTCCTCGGCCCCTGACGGCCTGGGTTTCCCGGCCTCTTGGCGTCTCTGGCTCTGCTTTTCGAACCTTGTAGGGGAGGGTGGGAGCAGGCTGGGGTCCTAGGGAGGTGGGGAAGCGAGAACGCCCTGCTGGAACACCCCCACTTACAGAGCCCAAACTGTCCCCTCCTGGGGTCACGAGGCATGGGAAACAAGGGGAGGCGCTCACGTGTCTGCACCTGGGCACCAGGTAGCCCAGGTCAAGCCCTGGGGTGCCAACTGTCCCCACTGGAGCACCTTGCTGCCTGAAGGGGCATGTGCAATGGGTGGACACCAGCTGGGAGGTGCTCTAGGTTCCTCCTGCAGACGGGTGGGTGGGCAGCGGGCTCAGGACCCAGGAGGATCTGCAGGAAAAGACACCATCTCCACCACCACCCCGGTACCCTCAACAATAGGGCAGTGGCAGTCTTTGTACTAGAATGTTCCTTCACTGACCGGAGCCACCTGCACTGCTGTGGGACCATCCAGACATTGCTGGGCAGTGCTGTTTCTCTGAATCAAAAGTGGGCACTACCCCCAGATGTAGTGGGCATTCCCCCCCCCCTCCCCCGCCTGACCAGGTGCCCGGCTGGACCCTGCCAGCTGCTTTGGTCTCTGGCCACCCTGGGTCTTCTGTCAGGGTAGATGAGCACTGCATCACAGAGCTCTCAGAGGGACCCCAGGGAATCTCTGTTCACAGCTACTGGGCTGCAGAAACCCAGCTGAGGGGCTTCCTGGGGACTGGGCTGACCCCCCACCCCCACCCCAGTCCTCATCTAGGCAGTACTGAGAAGTGTGAGCCCACTCTGACTGTAACGGCCTTTCCTCCTCTGCCTGGTTCCCTAAACACAAGTGGGGCTCCTGTGTCCTCCCCTACCCCCACAAATGACCCATAGCCAGTCTCTGCCTCAGGTCCTGATAGAGCCTGTGGAAGGGTTTATATGCTGTGTTATTGTTTATTCTTAAGTACTTTCTCATCCACTGTTTTTTTTTTCTTTTCATTGATTCATGAATTACTTAGAAATCTCTATTTTAAATTTCTAGATACATGGAGATTTTTTTCTTAGTTGCCTTTTGTAACTGGTCTCTAACTTAATTGAATTTTCATCAGAAACCATGGTTTACATGATACTGATTCATTGGTATTTGCTGAGACTTGCTTTAGGGCCAGTACAAGGTCAGTGTTATAAATAATCCGCGTGTGCATGTGGAATACACCCAATCACCATGAGGTGAAAGTGGAGACACAGATGAGTCTTAGTACATCTATTAGGTCAATCAAATCTATATATTTGTTTCTTTCCATTTTCTTGATCTTTTAATTATTGAAAGATGTGTGTACTAAAACTTAGCCCTAGAGAACTTTCAATTTTCCTTGTAGTTATGTCAAGTATTAAATTCCCTGTTTTAAGACTGTCTGTGCTGTGTGCTGTATCACTTCAGCCGTGTCCAATTCTGTGCAACCCCGTGGGCTTTAGCCTGCCAGGCTTCTCTGTCCGTGGGATTCTCCAGGCAAGAACACCAGAGTGAATTGCCATTCCCTTCTTCAAGGAATCTTCCCAACCCAGGGATCGAACACAAGTCTCTTCAGTCTCCTGCACTGGCAGGCTACATTAAGGGAGTTCCCTGACAGTCCTGTGGTTAGGACTCCATGCTTTCAGTACCAAGGGCATGACCAAAAAAAAAAAAAGCAACATCATTATTCAGATACAAATTTAGAATCAGTGTATCTTCACTCAGTGTAATGGTGTGAAAGTGAAAGTCACTCAGTCGTGTCAGACTCTTTGCCACCCCATGGACTATACAGTCCATGGAATTATCTAGACCAGAATACTGGAGTGGGAAGCCTTTTCCTTTTCCAACCCAGGGATCGAACCCAGGTCTCCCACATTGCAGGAAGATTCTTTAACAGCTGAGCCACAAGGGAAGTCTGTATAATGGTGTAGTGCCCCATGATTACTATGCTTTTTGCTTTATTATGTTTTGTTTGAAATTCTGTTTCATCTGATCGGAGTTAGCATTTGCTCTCTATTTCCTCCGTGCTTTTTCTTTGAAACTTTGTCTCTCTAGCTTTACGTGTGTGTCTTTTGGAACCATGTATAGGTGGATTTTGGTCTTTGTCTTCTACCTGGAAGATTTAGACTATGTCTATTCACACAAAAACGTATGTTTTTTTCTGTTGTGTTCTTTTGTGCTTCGATGCCTTTTTTCTTTTTTCCTCACCTTCTTTGGGATTGGGCTATTATTTTTCACTCCATTTTACCTTAACTAGCTCGAAAGTTTTATATTTCTAATCCTTTTACAGGTTATCTCAGACTTTTTCATTTTAATATGTTTTTCAAAAGTTATAGATAAGCCTTTTTCATAAAAGCAACTTTTTAAAATAAAATTTATAGTAACAAATACAGTCCCAGGCCTATACTCCTGCCCATCCTGGAATTATGCTCCTCAGAAGCTGTCATATTCATTGTCTAGTGCAGAGGTTGGATACCTCTGGCCCATTGCCTGTTTTTCTAAATAAAGTTTTATTGGAACACAGCTGTGTCCATTCACTTGGATATTGCCTATGGATGTTTTCATGCTACAAGAGCTAAATCAGGTAGGTGAGACAGGGTCTATATGTGACTCACAAAGGCTTAAATATTTATCTGGCCTTTTACAGAAAAATACTGCCAATCCCTGGACTGGAATGTCTGAACTTCATCTCTGGACTCTTCTCTCTTTACTGTCATTGCTATATCACAGGGAGGCACTATAAAGTTGTGGTTTATACCCAGGCTCCAAAGTATGACAGTCTGGTGGGCTTGCCAGCCTCCCCAAATCCCAGCTATGTGACCTTGGAGGGTTTTCATCACACCTTTGTGCTTCAGTTTCCTTATCTGTAAAATGGCACATAACATAGTTAGAGGCTTACTTGAGGGTTCAATGATTTAATACGTCAAAAACACTTAGAAAAATGTCTATCATGATATTAGGATCAGATTTTGTAATAGAATGTTAGATTTTTCATTGATCCTCTATCAGTATCATTATTGACATCCCAAATGGGAGGCAGGTTTGGCTCCTTAAGCCACCCAGGCTTCTATGGTCCCAGTATAACTACACCATTGCCTTTGATAAATCCATATTCATCACTACAATAGTTTTACTGAGTATTTTTCATAGCTGAGCTATGAAGACTAGCTGGATTATATTTCTTTTCCTTGTTATTTTCGGTTTTTTTAATTAATAGCAATCTTGTTTAAGGACTCTCATTTTTCTCTTGCTTCTTCCATCCTCCTCAGACTCTGCATACATGTCTGTAGGATTGTGTGATATTATCCCACAGTATTTGCATGCCCAGTTCAGATTTTGTTCATTCTTTTACTCTCTGTGATACAATTTGAAGAGTTTGACCCTAATTAATCTTTGAGGAAAGAGCTGACCAGCTGGACTGGTCAGTCAGTTAAAGAAACTCTAAATTCATCTCTAATAACATGCTTTATATTTCTGATGTTTCCCATTTTCCACTTTTGTATAGCTTCCATCTCTTTGCTGAAATTTCTTATCTGTTCACGCATATTATCCACCTTTTCCATTAGATCCTTTAACATATTAATCATAATTATTCTGAAGTCCTTTTCTGATAATGCCAGTATCTGAGCTATCTCTGAGTCTAGTTTTATTGATTAATTTATCTCATGGTAGTGGATTGCTTTCTCTTCCCTGTGTGTATGTGTGTCTCTGTGTGTCACACATTTTTACTGAATGCTGGACATCTGAAGAAAGAGCAGAGACTGGAGTAAACAGTACTTATACCCAGAAATAAGCACACCTGTTCTGTCAGTCTTAGTGTAAGTGGTTGAATCCATCTAGTCAGGAGTCAGCTGATCTGGGGTTTTGTTTTCACCCTTGTCACCCTCGGTGCCCTGCAGACTTCACCTTTCTCCAGCTGTGAGTGATGATTACTGTGCTTAGAGAAGGAACCTCTGGCCCCACTTTGCTCCTGCTCCAGCCTCAGCAATCAGCAGTCCCTAGATGTGTGTGACACAGATCTCTGTGTCTCTCTCTCCTCTGTGCCTCTGTCCCTCCACAGGTGGTAGGTGGCCCTTGCTCTTTAGTGCTTGGCTTATGCTGGCAAGGGGTAGGGGGAGAGCTCTGGTGTCCTGGCCAAGGCTCAGTCTTGGAGTGGAGCTGTCACAGCATCCCTGCCCTGATCCCCATGTCCATCAAACTTTGCTGTCTCCCTAAGTCCCCTCCCCCTTACCTAGTAGCAGCAGACCTCAGCTAAGATCCTGGGCCCACAAGGCTCTCTTTTGCCTCTTCCGTGAGCAGAGGATTTTTACATCAGACTCTCCTCCAGACCAGTAGATTTTCACCTGGTCCCTGGGGGGTGAGAAGGTTTACTGCCCTTCCTCTCCGTGGTGTAAAGTTCTTGCTTCCCATAAGAGGAGAGTCCAGGCAAGCATGAGACACCATGTGCGGGCACTGCGGCAGAAGCAGATAATCTCCTGCATGCCT